TTTATCTGATTGGATGTAATGTATATTTTGGTACGTCTTTTATTTGTGAATTATTTATTATTTATTTAAGAATTTCAAATATATTTTTTATTTTCAAAAAAAAAAAAATAAATGTAACAACAATAATAACATCTAATTACATTATACGGTCAATACATTATATGGTCAACTGTCATTAATCAAAAGTTTAAAATGATTTTTATAATTTTGAAGTGATGAGTATTAATTTATTTAATAATTAAATGAAAGATTAAATACATCAAAATGTAACGATTTTTGGAGGGAAAATTATTAAATTGCCACATAGGTAAAATTAAATAGGTTTTATTAAATGTTATTAGCTAGTAATTATATATATATATATAGATTAACGGGATATATATCTATATCTAATTATATATATATATATATATAAATAGATATATAAAGAGGTTCTTAGAAAAATATATTAATTGAAAGTTTGACCAAATAAATATAATGTTTGACTTACTATTAATGGAAAGTTCATAAAAATACATGTGAATCTTTAGTACAAAATTTGAATCCTATTTTTTTGGTAACTAATTTAGAGATTTTTATGGCAAAATTTGAATTTCATTTTTTTCGTATCATATTTTATTTTTTTACTAAAATTTAAATCATATATTTTTTGGTAACAAATTTGAAGATTCTTATGCAAAAAATGTCACTTATTTATGAAAACAATTCTAAATACAAATTAACTTAAAAACCGTACAAATTGGATACAAATTTTGGAAACAAATAGTTGTATAATTCTTAACCAATTCTTCCAATCTTATTTAATAATTTTTTCTTTAAAAACAAAAAAGTGTGTAAATTGGATAAAACCACGTGCAATTTTTATTTTAGAATAAAACTGATATTTGGACGGGATGTACATTCAAAATTATGTCCACATTTTTTAGTAACAAAAGCGGTTCATCTTTGACATTTAAAAATTAAAAAAATCTTAAAATATCCTTAAATTTTAACTTATTTGATATCAAGATTTGTTAGGTCTTTTTAAAATTAATTATGATTTAAAAGAACAACACATTATACAAAATTTCACTCTAAAAATCTCACATTCACACTTAAGATTTTATAGTATTCCTCTAAAATTTGACCATCTTAAAAGTCTCAAATCTTAAAAAATCTCAAAGTGGCACTCAAAATCCTAAACGAATAATGTTATTTACCTATATCTTCAATTTATAATTATTATTTAATATTATTTATCCGTGCATCGCACGGGTCACATACTATTATTGATAATAATCCGCATATACTGGTCAATATCAAGCAAGTCAGTCAGCAAATCATTCACTTTAAAAACATGTGGAATTGTGAGATTTATTGATGGAGAAAAGATTGCATGATTCATGTGGAATTTTCGGGGACGATAATCTTTATAAGGGAAGTATTATTTTCGGGGACGATAATCTTTTCAAAGTATTATTTTTTGTCCAAAAAAAAAAAATTTAATAAGTTTAAAGATATATAATTGATTACTATTTTGATTGGTAATATGTGTATAATACAATTAAAAAATAATATTTAAATTCACTTTTAAATTTCAGAACTTTATAAAATATTTTGATTATCAATCAAATTTAAATTATATATTTTCAAAGTTAACTTTTCAAAATATTAAGCTCTAATATTAAGTCCTAGGCCATTAATACTAACCTTCTAACCTTAAGTGATTAAGTTCTAATTAGAGTCTCAACCTTTAATCTAGATAGAAAAGCAATTAATCTCTACAATCACTTAGGCAAGCAATAAAAACATAGCAGCCAAACTTTCCATCCTCCATCAAGCAACACCCAAAATTACTTTGATAAGCATCATAAGTAAAAACGAGAGAAAATCCAAAGTATTGAGGTTTAGAATTAAATACCCAACCTTCTATTGCGTGCTAGACGAGATTCGGATTCAAAAGTTCAAAAATTGAACAAAAACGAAAATGCCGGAAAATGATGTCATAGACCTCCAAGAAAGAAAATAGAGAAAAAACTAAAAAGAAAAAAACAATTCCTAAAGAGGAAAAGTGAAAAATGAAGTCTAGATATTCAAAATACAAAGGACAAAATGTATTTATAGTGCTACACAAAAGGCACACACTTCTCACAGACACAATAAATGATCCTGCAGTTCGCTGGTCTCGAAAATCACTTCGCAGCGAATTTGTACGTGAAAAACAGCTTGCACGGGCACTCGCAGGTTGCCAAACTGAAGTCGCTACAAGTGCCGGAAGTTTATGTGGAGCGCGCCTGTTTGCGGTCGCCAATCGTGTCTCGCGGCGAGTGTCGGGCGTGGGGTGCCGCGCGCGCGTCGCTTCGCAGGTCGCCAATGCTCGTTCGCAGCGAGTGCGCGCTGCTCCTCGCGCGGTGCCGTCTCGCGGCTTGCGAATCTACTCTCGCAGCGAGTGGCGCCTGGATGACTTCCTCGTGCGCGCGTCTCGCAGGGCGCCAAAGTGAGTTCGCATCGAGTGCCCGGGGCGTGGCTGGGGCGCGTCGCGGGTCGCGAACTCCGTCTCGCAGCGAGTGCCGGGAGTGTGGCTGAGGCACGTCTCGGGCATTCTCGCAGGTCGCGAGCGGAACTTCGCGGCGAGTGCTGGGGNAAAAAAAAAAAAAAAAAAAACCGAACACTTGATGCTGAATGAAGCCAAAATGCTGTGCATGCAAATGAAAATAATAGTATGTTTTGCATCAATGGGTATGTTTTGCACTTATCAACAAAACTTTGCCCAAGCGCAACCGTATAATTAAATGTGTTCCATCAAGTCGAGAAATCAACTTTTGAGTTATTTTATTTTTATTTTACTTCAGTGTTTAGGTTGTTCGCTATAACTAATGTTATAGGATATATTTTCAAGTTCTAATTTTATTGGTATTTAGATTTGGTAATTTGTTTGTGGTTTGCTTCTCTTTTCTTAGCTTTTTAGAGTTGATAACTCGATATTAAATGTTTTAATTTTCTTTTATATATTTTTAACCATTTCATTCATAGTGTTTCTATTTTCACTTTTCAGAAATGTTTAAATATATTCTTTTTTTATAAACTTTAAGTCACCAATTTAGGAGAATTTGTATTTGTATTTTATGTCTAGTAACTTGTGGCCCTTGCTAAACATGACACTATTTTTTATTTTGCCAAAAGAGGATAATAATTTGAAAACCCATACAATTGTTGCCAATCAATGATGAGTTGGCAGGATTGCATTGGATTTTGTTAATGAAACCGATCTCGCTTATTATGTTGACCGCCAATGTGCCCTTTTTACGGCGTTAAATTTGCATTTCATCCAACTGTCTCAGAGCATCTCCAATGGTCATTCTATTTCTCTATTTTGTTGTCACATGTCACAAATAATCTTATGTGGCTTGAAAAAAATTTCAGAAGGCTTTCTAAATGTAGAAGCCTTTCTAGACAACTTTCATTGTATATTAGCATATTTATTTAATTTATCTATCTTTTGCAACCAATTAAAATTTTACACATCACAAATGATATCACAATTAACATCAACTATTGGAGACATAATTTTTTAGTTTTCATTCTCCATGCCATACAACACAAAATGGATCATTTTCCATTGGAGATGCTCTCAGTAACTATTTGATAGTGGCAAAATATAACTCCCGCCTTTTTATTGTGGCAAAATAAGATAACAATTAAAAAGAAAAAACAAAAAAAAAAAAACTAACAAGTTATAACAATTGGGTTCAGAATTGTCAAACCTTGGCGGAATTCCACCGAAACTCAAAACTTTTGCAGGCTAAGTCACCATAATGTTTATCATTTTCTATTTGTTTGGCACTGATTTCATGTTTATATGGATATTTGGAAATCACTAGCATATATGGATATTTGGAAATCACTAACATTCAGTTACTATTTGTTTGGCACTGATTTCATGTTTATATGGATATTTGGAAATCACTAGCATAGATTAAAACAAATTTTAAAAGACAATTGTAAATAGAAACTCATATTCTTAAATGGTCAAATACAACAACATGCATATTCTATCAACTAGTAACGCGGTTCTGTAGGTTGATCCGGCAATGGCGGGCGAAAATACGAGGCCACGACCCGCGAATCGAGAAGTTCGACCATTTCTCGCTTGCTCACACACCGGGGCACCTTGAACTGCCTGAGCGATGCACCTCGTGACACGGCCCACTCCATTACCTCTTCAAACGTCCCATCTTTCACAATCCTAATCTCCAACGGCCCAATCGAGCTATCCCTCAACTTACGGTACACCCAATTGAACGATTCCTCCATCGCCACACAACACTCTTCCCACACGGCCTGCGGTTGATCACTTGACTCACTCTCGTTTAATAGCTCCCAATACACGACATAATGTGCCGGGACAGTTGTGGGGTCCACACGACTCGTGTAGTCGAGCACCCTAATCCCGTGCGGAAGGAGAAGTCGGGCCGCCTTCTCCACCGCCTCTTGGAGCTCCGTCTCCTTGGTGTTCTCCCAATCGATGTTCAACACCACGTCTTTCCGTCTCACGAACCAGAACTTCGGGGCCGAGTTGTGGAAACCCGAAGCCCGCACAATGTCCCCGAGTCGGTATCGATAGAGCCCGGCAAGCGTAGTGGCCACCACCTCGTACTCCTTGCCGACCTCAACGTTGACCAAGTCAACAGGATCCGAGCGGTCGTCGGCCGACAAGAACTCAAAATAGGCCATGAATGGCATGAAGGTGTAAGAGACCTCGGACGGGCGACATGTGGGGTCGAGGTTTATCCCGAGAAAGCATTCGGATGATGCGTAACCCATGGATACTATTGGAAGTCCTCCGCCATAGTATTCAAGGGTCGGGATGTATTGGGCCATTGGGCCCGTGACGATTGTGTTGAGATATTTTGCGTTGGGCCAGATTCGGGGGATTATCCCGGCCCAATCCTTGTTGGCACACTCGCAGGCAATGGAGTCTGCCAGTGCAGGGTCGGGCCATGCGATCCGTGACATGCAATCGCGGATCGCCGGATCGGTCACCTTCAGGTCGAGCGACCCGGTTCGTATGTCATGGGTCAGTTGTTGCCAGTTGTGCTCGAGAAACTTGATTGCGCGGACGAGTCCGTATGCAAAGAGATTACCGACCCAGAGAACTTGTTCGTGTGCGTAGAGGCTGCACAACATTTGCGCATACATGCTCTGGAGCGAATCAGAGCAGACAACGACTTCAGTTGGGCTCGTGAAAGCATTTTCGATTCGTTTCTTGTGTTCTTCGCTCTTGTGGATGTAAGTGAGCGCCGTTTGTACAGTGATTCCGCCTTGAGTTTTCGACTCGGCTCTCGTGAACATGAAGTTGAGCCCTTTGCCTTTGTCCAGCCCTTCGAAATGCCTAGTTATTTCGATTTTCATGTAAATTTTTCCAAAGATTAAATATTTAATACAAATTCATGAAGTGGAACCATCACAAAAATGCATACTTATATGCGAAATGTTATACATTTATTAATATTGTTTGAAGAAGTCTGGGCGCCAAATTCTTACTTTTAGAACACTTTCATTTTCCAGAAAAAGTTCTATCACATTGGACGTCATAAAAAATGGTTTACTATTTTGTCACTTTAATCAAAACTCGTACAATGACCAACATAGTCAGATCTCTTTTAGTACACTATGTTGGTCATTGTAGGAGTTTGATTAAAGTGACAATATAGTGGACCATTTTTTATGTCACCTAATATGATGTATCTTTTTCAAAAAACGGCCAATACTAAAAATGAAATTTTGCCAAGTGGCCCAACCGCCATGCAACATCCTTAGTGATTATGACGTGCGTCACTACAAAAAAAAAAATGTCATATTCCAACGAAAAATCCCACAGAAATATATTCCAATAGAAATTCCAACAGATATTCCAATAGTATAGCTTCCGTTGGAATGTTTCTAATGAAAATTCCAACAGAATTATTCTGTTGGAATGAGTTTTCGATTGAAATTTCGATGAAATTTTATCATTCCAACGCCCATTATTCCAATGATTTTTTACCATAGGAATTTCTGTTAAATTTCTTTTTCACCCATATTTCAACCGTTGAAAAATGTACTCTTGGAATTGTCAAAATCACTACAAGAAAAATGATAAAATTCCAACAGAAATATATTCCAATAGAATTCTAACGGCAATTCCAATGGATATATCAATGTTATTATTTCCGTTGGAATTATTCCAATGGAAATTCGTACAAAAATATTCTGTTGGAATGAATTTTTCATTGGAATTTCCGTTGGATTTTGACGATTCCAACGGTAGATTTTCCAACAGTGGTGGAAATAAAAATTCCAACGGAAATTCCTACGGTAAAAAACCGTTGGAAATATAGCCGTTGAAATCATCAAATTCCATCTAAAATTCCATTGAAAAATACATTCCAACGGAATATGTTCGTTGGAATTATACCATTGGAATATCTGTTGGAATTTTCATTGGAATATATTACCATAGAATTTTCCATTGGAATATAACAATTTTTTTATAGTGAATGCAACGGAAATTCGAATGGAAAATCCATTCCAACGGACTATTTTTGTTGGAATCCATTAGAAAATTCTAACGGAAATAATAGCATTGGAATATCTATTGGAACTGCCGTTGGAATTCCATTGGAATATATTTCTGTTGAATTTTTTCCATTGAAATTTCATCAGATTTTTGTAGTGCGTGCGTCTTAAGATGTATATAAAAATATGTACTCACTGGTTAAGAACAGATTCAGTAAGCCCGATAGTAAGTGAACCACGATTTAACATATCCTTGTTAGATGGAATAAGCTTTGGGTCACCACTAGTAGTCCCAGAGCTGTTCAAATACAAGAAAATTAATTTAAAAAATGTATAATTTAGTCTGATGTATAATTTTCAGGTGTCCTTGCAAGTTCCAACCTTTTAAAAAGGGAATCTAAAATTAAAGGAGCATGAATTTTAATTAACAGAGAGTGACCTGATGAGAAATGTGGAGGTGGGTTGAGCACACAAAATGGGAGAACGATCACCGTCGGCTATTCTTTTAATCAACGGCTGGAGATCTTTATAGGTCGTCATCGGTATCTTTGATTTGAATGCCTCGCGATCGGTGGATCCATTGAGGCCGAAGCCCGTGAGATATTCGGTGCCGGCATTTTGGGCCAGGATTTGGGCCAACACTTGCTCTTGAACCTCGTCGGCCTTTTGGGTCACCTCCTCGATGAGTTGAAGGCCCGTTAATGACGACCAGAAAGGCGAGGTAGCCGACATTATTTGGTGCTTAAGTTTTTTGAAATGGAATTGGAGAGGGTTTGAAGAGAATGTGGAGAAGGCACTTGCAACACAAAAAGCACATCGTCATTTCAGTATATATCGTCTCATTTAATCATTATATTATCTCAAGAACATTTGAAAGCAAATACAGGAGGGACTAATGATCCACTTATTCATTAATATAGAAATAAAATAAAATATATTTATATTATAACAAGTCTAGTGGGCCATGTGTGGTATTGTAATATTATTTCGCTCCATAACTGGTTGTTCAACCCTTACAAATGCCAGGGTCCCACGATTTTTATCAAATAAATGGTTGCCTTCATTGATATTAACGAAGCATCATTTTTCTCATCCTCATCACGTCTTCTAGTCACCGAATTTACTCATATCCATATCATCATCCAAGTGAAAATGTCCGTATTTTTAGAAGCCAAAAAATGGCTAGATTTTATGCACACTCCTACACTAAAATAATCACACTCCTACACTAAGACTATCTCCAGTCCTTTACTTTACTCTAGTATAGAGTTTACTCTACTATAGAGTAAAGTTAGTCAAATATCTTCAATCGTTCGTGCTACATTTTACTCTACATATATTCTATTATTTTTTTATTCAATTTTATTTCAAATATATTTCAATATATATGCATATTTAATCTTATATATATTTTTGTTACCCGAAAAATAAAAATATGTTGATGTGTGACCGCGCGTCGCAACACGGAAAATTTAAATTTATAATTTTCCTCAACTAACCTCTACTAACTAGTAGTAGTGGCGAGTAAGGGTCGATCCCACGAGGAGTATAAATTAAATTGTGACAATCTCGTATTAATTGAATTAAACTAGGAAAACAATAAAAGATGAGGGGGATTGGTTTTATAAAAATAAACATAAAAATAAGAAAATAAAATAAAAATCAAATAAAATAAGAGAAAAATCCAGATTTCGGTTCAGTTATCACCCAATCTAAATCTACCGTTAATTAATTTCGACGCTTTCTCTAGATTGCTAATGAATTACCAACCCTAGCTAACAACAAGCTCTGTTAACCGAATTTTTCCTTACCGAATATTTAATCGAAATAGGCTCTTCGACTAAACCTAACTAGTGGACAACTTAGAATATCTCTAAATTTAATACACTAGCAGCATTAATTTCGAGGAAAATAGGTCAGTCTAAGCAATGGACGCAAAAGCTCGGACCATTTAACCTATGTTCATGCTACCGTAGAGATGCACGACTCCTAGTTTACTACTAACGAACGAGACAATAACAATTACGGATTAAAGCCTCGAATTTAGCAATTAAACTATGAATATTCAAACTAGTTGGCCAAACTAAATCAAACACCATAATTCATAAACAATAAACACAAATAGCATAAATCAACTCATCAACAAAATAAATACGGTGTCTCGATTAATCAATGATAAGAAATAGATCATTCAATTCATAGACAAATCGAAATTAGGGTTCAAACATCCCCTTAAACTAGATAAAAACTAGCCTAACATAATAATAAAATAAATACTAGATAAAAGAGAGAATAAAATTCTCCCTCGTGTCCGAGTGCGGCTTCCCTCCGCCAGTGGTGTAGCTTCTTCTCTTCCGCCTGTGCGTGCGTGCGTCTATCCGCTATTCTTTTTTCCCCTCAGCTTCTCTCAGCCTTTTTACGTTTTCGCAAATAAATCCCCTCTCAAAAATAATTTCTCCCCGCGTGTGTACTCCCAGCCAAAATAAGTCTACCACTTTAATTAGTGGTTGCTTCAAATTAGGATTCTTTTCCAAATAAAAGTCCACCAACCACGTATAATTTGAATAGGAATGATTCATGTGGCTTCCAATTTAATCTCTCAGCCGAAATAATATTGAACCCCCAACATTCACATTAGTCCTTTCATTTTTAATTGACTTGGGCCTTCATTGGTCTGTCCTTCGGCACCTCGATAATTGACCGCGTAAACTTTCGTCCAATTGTGTCGTCCATGAAAACACTCTAATATTATGAAAATAAACATAAAAATATCAATGTATATGAATCTATCCAAAAAAATAAATAAGTCAAAAAATATAAACGTGCGACTAAATTTAGTGTATAAAAATACACTATTAAATATATAAAATTGACACATTTTCCGACCTATCAATGTGTGTTATAACTTTTGATTTTAATGAAATCTACTTATTTTATTGTGGTAAATTTTTATTCAAATGGTACTATTAAAATTTACAAAATAAATTTAAAAATACATCTATTATTATTTACATGTATATTATTAATAAACTAGACATGTTTTTATACATATATAATTATTTGCATGTATATGATTAATAAAAATATATATAAATACAATAATAATTTTACCAACATTAATATATTTCTAAAACCTTAATCATGTGCAATTAGTGAAAAAATTAAATTAGAAATACATTTTAATTTATTTTTTTTATAAAAATTGTATTTATGATGTTTGTTCAAAATCTACTTACAATTCTATATAATTCAATAATATGTGATATCCAATTTAAATGGTAACAATATTAATAAAATAAACATAAAATATTAAAAGAAAAAGAAAGAAAGATAATGTAGCGTTGGATGAATAGTTTATCTCTGTATTCAGTGCAACACTGTTTACAGCACTGGAGTAGCGATGACATCTGGCGCAGGATTGGAGATAATTTGTAGAGATTTGCGCTGAAGAAAAGTAGGGTTGGAGAAACTCTAAAAGGCGAAAAGACGCCAAATTAGTCGTCAACTTGCACGTTGCACCTCCATCATATGTGTAACCCTCACATCTTGTCACTCATCTAGTGAAAACATGTAAATTTATAACAAAGTCATGCATATCCTTTCTAACTAGTAACGTTGTTTTGTAGGTCGATCCGACAATGGTGGAAAAAAATGCGAGCACACGACCAATGTATTTATTGTAAGATATATGTCAATATACTATTTATGAACAAGTGTAAATGGCTCCATAAATTGTGTCATCCGATGACTCCATAGCAAACTTAATATTTAGATATAAATATATGGAGCCCACAAATAAGGTGAAATTTGCCCTGAAATTTGCTTAAACGAAGTGAGGAAACATAAACAAAGGTTACATTTATTATAATTGCAGTTATAATAAATGTAATTGGCACACAAAGGTTGACTTGGAGCCATTCCAAAAGGGCAAAAAAGAAATACAATAGGGAGATAAGTATGTGGCATCATGTGTTTTCGGAGGATGAACAACCATAATAATTTGACTAGAAATAATTTAAGGAACTTCGATCCACACGCTGTGCATGCAAATGAAAAAAATAGTATGTTTTTGTAGAGCTTAGCGATCTGCCATTTCTAATTTCAGAGGGCTATTTTTGGGAATTTCCAAAATGTATTTCTTTACTCAAAAAAGAGACGATACAAAGTGGCTGGGATTAAAAACCCCTAGCTCGCGTTCAACAAGGTGAGGACACAAACGTCCTTTCACAGTAAAATGCTAAACATCATAAAGAAGAGAAAAACACGCATACTTGAAGCTAAACACACTTAACCCTAAAACACTTAAAACATAAAATGTAACAGTAAATCCATGCACTTCACATCCAACACGTCTCGATGATAGGCTAAGTTCAACACCCCCCCCTCCCCCCTCAAGTGGGAATGGGGGAGTAAGCTCGCATTCCCAACTTGCCCAAGAAATAGTGAAACTCACGACCTCCAAGAGATTTGGTGAAAGTATCCGCAGGTTGTGCAGAGGAAGTGATATGGTGAGGAGCAATAAAACCAGCCTTGAACATATCTCGCACAACATGACAGTCGATGTCTAAATGCTTAGTGCGCTCGTGGAAGACCGGGTTTACTGTGATGTGGAGGGCTGCTTTGTTGTCACACCAGAGAGGGATTGGGAGAGAAAGGGGCAAACCAAAATCAGCAGCTAAGTAAGAAAGCCATTTGAGCTCACAAACCGTGGTTGCCATAGATCGGTATTCCGCTTCAGCCGAGGACCGAGAAACCGTTTTCTGCTTCTTTGTCTTCCAAGAAATCAGTGTCTGGCCAAGGAAGATGCAATATCCAGTAAGAGACCTTCGAGTAAGGGTGCAGCTGCCCCAATCTGCATCACAGAAGGCCTCAAGCTGTGAAGTGGGTTGGGCTGCATAGAAAAGGCCCAGTGATGGACAGCCCTTGAGATATCTCACCAGATGAAGTGCTGAAGCCCAATGAGCTTTGGTAGGAGAGTGGACAAACTGACTAAGTTGTTGGATGGCAAAAGAGATATCAGGCCTCGAGAGATTTAAGTACAACAGTCTCCCAACAAGCCTTCTATAGGCACCCTCATCTGCCAAAGAATCTGTGGTTTGAGAAGAGAGATTGATGCCCTGTGGAAGAGGAGTAACCACTGGCTTGGAATTAGACAGTCCCAGGTCCTCAACAATATCTTGAATATATTTCTTATGGCTAAGAAAAAGGCCATGCCCGGTTTTTATCAACTCTAATCCTAAAAAGAATTTTGCAATCCCAAGGTCCTTAATGGTAAACAAGTGATCCAAGTAAGACTTCAAACTAGCAATATCCTCAGCATGAGTTCCAGTGATCATAACATCATCAACATAGATCAATAAAGCCAAAAATTTTCCAGACCCTTGCTTAATAAACAAACAGTGATCATGAACTGACTGAATGAAGCCATAAGCAATGAGTTTATCAGAGAACTCTATATTCCACTGTCTAGAAGCTTGTTTAAGCCCATACAAACTTCTTTGTAACAGACAAACCTGATTACTCTTGGCTTTGGTGTACCCTTTGGGAGGCAGCATGTATACCTCCTCGTCCAAATATCCATGTAAGAAGGCATTATTAATGTCTATATGATGAACATCCCACTGCCTCTGAGTGGCTAAAGCAAGCAGAAACCGTACTGAAACCAGCTTAGCTACTGGTGAAAAACTTTCAAAAAAATCTACTCCTTCCTTTTGCAAGTATCCCTTAGCAACCAATCTGGCTTTGTATTTATCTATGGTGCCATATGGGTTTCTCTTGATTTTGTAGACCCATTTGGATCCTATAGCTTTCTTTCCTGGTGGCAGAGATGTCAAAGTCCAAGTGTTATTCAACTCCAAAGCTTCAAGTTCCTTTGTCATGGCAGTAACCCA